TTCCTGCTAGTGTTGTTGTTGTTGTTTAATCTATTTATTTATTTATTGGCTGCGTTGGGTCTTCATTGCTGCCCGTGGGCTTTCTCTAGTTGCGGTGAGTGGGGGCTACTCTTTGTCGTGGTGCGTGGGCTTCTCACTGCGGTGGCTTCTCTTGTTGTGGAGCATGGGCTCTAGGGTGCAGTCTCAGTAGCTGTGGCACACAGGCTTAGTTGCTCCGTGGCAGGTGGGATCTTCCCGGACCAGGGCTTGAACCCGTGTCCCCTGCATTGGCAGGCGGATTCTTAACCACTGTGCCACCAGGGAAGCCCCCTGCTAGTGTATTTTTAATTTCAGTTATTGTATTGTTCATCTCTGTTTGTTTTTCTTGAAATTTTCTAGCTCTTTGTTAAACATTTCTTATATCTTCTTGGTCTGTGCCTCCATTCTTTTTCCACGATCTTGGATATCTTCACTGTCATTACTCTGAATTCTTTTTCAGGTAGATTGCCTATCTCCACTTCACAGACTTGTTCTTCTGGGCTTCTATCTTGTTCTTTCATCTGGAACATATTCCTCTGCCATCTCATTTTGTCTAACTTTCTGTGTTTGCAGTCCCACAGGCTGCAGGGTTATAGTTCCTCTTGCTTCTGGTGTCTGCCCCCATCTCGTTGTGGCTGCTTCTTTGTCTTTGGAAGTACAATATCTTTTGGTAGGTTCCAGTCCTTTTTTGTCAGTGGTTGTTCAGCAGCTGGTTGTGATTTTGGTGTTTTCAGGAGAGAAGGTGAGCTCAGGTCCTTCTACTCCAACCATCTTGTCTGGGCAGGCTCCTCAGCAAATGTTTTTTGAACAGCTCCTCCTATGGACTGTGCCGAAGCTGGGGTAAAACTACAGAGCTCTGAATGGAGTTGGGGGGATAGAGTGAGGCAGGCAAATGACAAAGAGACAGGAAAACTTAAGATGGTGGAAAATGTCATAAAGAGAATGAAGCAGGGTGAAGTGATTGAGATTGGCGGGATGGGGGGTGGGGACATCAGGGAGACTTCTGGAGGAGGAGGTGTGACACTTAAGCTGAGATGTTAATCTATGGCATGACATTCATGGCTGTATCGCAGCTTACCTAGTTCCCAGCAGGAACTAGGATACTTCCTGGATATGCTCCATGGATATTTTTGAATGAATGAAGGAGGGAGGAGTGCCCAAAGCAGAGGAAGGAGCGCGTACAAGGGCCCTGAGGTGGGAACGTGCTCAGTGTATTCCAAGAGCCCTTTCTCTCCACCACGCAGCTCTGTGTCTCCTTTGGTGGCTCTTGTCTCGTCAGGAGCATCTGGCCTGCCTTCTGTGCTCTGGCTGCCCCATGACACAGGAGACTGCGTGCTCAGCTCCCAGCGGGTGATGCTATCCAACCTCTCCCTCCTTTGGGCCCCCAACAATCTTTCCGAGTCTGAGGGCTGTGCAGGGCAAGAGCACAGTGGACCCCATCTCATTTCAAACTCTGGTTTGCCACTGACTAGCTAAGTGACCTTGGGCAGTGTATTAGTTTCCAAGGGCTGCTGTGAAGCCACCACAAACCGGGTGGCTTCAAACTACAGAAATGTATTCTCTCACAGCACTGGAGGCTAGAAGTCCAAATTCAAGGTGTTGGCAGGGCCACGCTCCCTCTAAAGTTTCTAGGGGAAGGTGCCTTCTTGCCTCAGCCAGCTCCTGGTAGCTGCAGGCATCCCTTGCCTTGTGGTGACATCACTCCGGTCTCTGCCTCCTTCCCATGGCTGCCTTCCCTCTGTGCCCTTAAGGACACCAGTCATGTGGGAACAAGGGCCCACCGTACTCCAGCATGTCCTCCTCTTAACTCTTTACATCTGCAGCTACCTGTTTCCAAATATGATCACATGCTGATCTTAGGGGTTAGGATTTTAACACCTCTTCTGGGGGACACAGTTCAACCTCTAATAGGCAGGTTACATAACCTCTTTGTGCCTCAGTTCTCTGTTCTATGAAATGGGGTGGTAATAATAGGGCTCCTCTGCTGGGGTTGCAGGATAGCCTACACAGAATGGTGGGAACCTCTGGACAGGGCCAGGCACACAGAAAGCACACAGTCAATGCTGTTATTTCCACCTTATCAGTGAAGGTTTCCTGGGAGCAGCTGGCAATGTCCTTGGCCAGGAGGACTTACTGAGGAGGGCCTGGGGCTGGGCTGTGGGCCTCTTGCCTGGGATGCGGAGGCTCAGAGAGGCCCCTCCCCGCTGTCTGGATGAGAAGGGGCAGGTGGGCGCCTCTTCAGTGTGGCGGGGTGAAAGCCATTAACAGAAGGTGGGGAGCTCAGTCTGCAGAGGGATGTGAGCAGAGGGTGCCCAGCCACTGTAGGTGCCCACAAGGGGATTCGGGTACTGAATAAGCCCAGATGACCTTTCAGGCCCAATCAGCCTGGAATTCCTGGGCGGGAACTTGGGGCTAGAATCCCAGAGCAGCCCAGCAAAGACTGAGGGGCATATGTAGACTCCCCAAAGCCAGAAGGGGCCTAAACCCTGACAGGCAGGGCAACTGAGGCAGAGAGAGGAAGGGACTTGTGGGGAGTTCACATAGAGAGTTGGGAGCCCCTGTCTCCTAGTCTCCCCATGGTAGGCCCCTGGGTGGGTGTGGATGCCAGGGGGTAGGGCCCCAGGGCTGGGTCCCAGTCCCTGAGGCTGCCCCACAGTCCCCTTCAAATGAAGCTACTTTGGAATGACTTCAGCTGGTGGTCATTGTCACCATGCCCTCCTCCCTCCATTAGCTTGGTCCCCCCTCTCTGAGCCTGGCCAGATTCACCCCGAGGTCCCCGAAGTACTTCCTGCATCCCAGAGTCCATCCACGCCCATCCCCTGTAGCACTTGTTGGGAGGCAAGAGGGCAGGGCGTCGCCAGCCCCACTTTGCAGATGAAGGAGCTGAGACCTAGAGGGAAGGGGTGGCAGAAGCGGGCAGAACCCAGTGCCTGGACTCCTTGGGCGGTAGTGTGGAGGCTGCCTCTCAGCCTGCTGGACCAGCCCCTGGGGCAACAGGCTGGAGATACCCCGGGATCAAGCCCATTTGGTGGTGGCTACAGAGAATAGCCTCCCTCTGGGTGTGGTCTGGCCACAGCTGGGAGCCTCAGGAGAGCTGGGGGTGGGGGGTGTCAGGGCTGACCCCTGCAGCAGCCTCCTCCCCATGCTGTCTGTATCTATATTTATCCCCATGTCGGCCTGGCTGCCTTTTGGGAGTGCGTCGTCTTCAGAGCTCAGCAGCTTTAGCTAAGGTAGGGAAGTGATTTGTGTCAAGATGCTGCCCACCCCCCACCTTGATGGGAGCACCAGTCTGCTCTCTGAGGGGCTGTGCACCACCTGGCAGGAGCCAGTGCAGCAGTGGGTGTGCAGGGAGGGCCCCAGGGAGTATTAGCAGCTTGGGGATGGACCCCCCCATTTCAGAGAACCAGCGCTGTGGAACATTGGGGTGGTAGGGCTGCGGCTAGAAGGTGGTACCAGATAAACTGTAAAGCCTTTCAGCTCAGAGATTCAGAGAACTCCTGATTTCCGAAATCCTAGAATTCCCAAACCCTGGGATTCTGTGAATCTGTGAATCTGTAGGCTTCTGCAATTCCAAGATGCCGCAGATCCTCTTCCCTTCACCTTCACTCTTCCTTCAACTTTCAGCAAACGTTTGTCGAGCTCCCGTTCTATGCCTCTCTGCTCTGGAAACAGCAGAGATGAAAATAAGATCTGGTCCCATCTTTAAGCTCAAGTGAGGGTGACATTTCCTAAGCCAGTGGTTGCAATATGGTAACAATGTAAGTGCTTCCCTCTCCAGGGCCAGGGGCTCAGGGGGCACTTTGTAGAGCAGTCCCCAATTTGTGTTTTTTTAAAAAACGTTTTCTTGAAGTATAATATACAAAATAGAGCAGACTTCCTGCTCAATGACCGTTCACAAACCAAAAACATCCGTGTTAGCAGCCCCTAGATTGAGAAACAAACGTGACCCTCACTGAAGCCCCCTGGTAGCCCCGTCCGGTTACTCACACCCTCCCCCACTATCTTGCAATGCCCCTCCAGCAGCATAGACTTGTTTTGCCTGGATTTAACTTCATGTAATGAGATTATACAGGATGACACGCCCCTTTGCGTCTGGCTTCCTGCATTCAGTATGTTCATAAGACCTATTCATATTGTTGCTGTCCTCGTGCTTCCTTCATGCTCGTGGCAGTGTGGTCCACTGTGTGCACGTTCACCATTTATTTATCCCTTTTCCAGATGATAGGCGTTTAGGGGACTCCCGGCCTGGGGCTATTACAAATAGTGCTGCTCTGAAAGTTCTCCGGTGTGTCTTTTGGTGAACATATTGCATGTTTCTGCTGGGCGTTGCTGGGTCATCATAAGGGATGCACTTATTTAGCTTTGTAGTCGCTGCCAAACATTTCTCCAAAGCGGTTGTACCAGTCTACACTCCTGTTGGTGACACGTGAGAGTTCCAGTTGCTCCACATCCTTGTCAACACTTGGTATCGCCAGCTTTTTAAATTTTATCCTGGGGGTGGGGGCAGGAAGGCATAGTGGCATTGATTTCATTTGGTTTTGCTGAGCTGAGTTTGAAGAATGACAGAGCTAAGTGAAGAAGAGGGAAGGGCATGCCAGGCAGATGGAACAGCATGTGCAAAATTACAGAGGCATGAAAAAGTACTGTTGGAACTCTGTGTAGTAAACAGCATAGCTAGAGCCAGAAATGTGTTGAGGCAGTCGGGGGTGGGGGGGCGGGGGGCGGCAGCTATCAGGGTGTTTGGACATTGTCCTGAGAACAGTAGGGAGTCCCAGAGAGGATTTTCTCATTTGAGCGAGTACCTGCAGTGTGTCAGGCATTTTGTAATTTACATTTTTTTTTTTTTGCGGTAGGCGGGCCTCTCACTGTTGTGGCCTCTCCCGTTGCGGAGCACAGGCTCCGGACGCGCAGGCTCAGCGGCCATGGCTCACGGGCCCAGCCGCTCCGCGGCATGTGGGATCTTCCCGGACCGGGGCAGGAACCCGTGTCCCTTGCATCGGCAGGCGGACTCTCAACCACTGCGCCACCAGGGAAGCCCCTGTAACTTACATTTGATGGATAAGAAAACTAAACTGAGACTCAGAAAGACCAAATGACTTGTCCTGAGTCATATTAGCAGAGGCTGTGGAATGCACATCCTTCCAAGCCTCAGTTTGCTCTTCTGGAGAATGGGAGTGGTGGTAACACCTCGCTCAAGGATGTTGTGAAGCTATAGAAGTTAAAGTCCATAACACACTGGGCACAGGGCCTGGGGCAAGCGTTATTATTACTCTCATTTTATATCCTGTCTCCATCACCACAGCCATACCACCCCCTCTCTTCCCTGCCAGCTGACAGGGTGGGAGTGGGCTCTCCTAGCTCCCACAGTTAGGAAGGGCTGGCAGAGAACTCTAGCCTCAGCACCCTATTTTCCTGCCCCACGGCAGGTCTTCTAGGACCTGAAGGTTGCTACGATGGTTAATCTTATGTATCACCTTGGCTAGGCTATCGTGACCAGTTGTTCAGTTAAACACTAGTCTGATGTTGCTGTGTAGGTATTTTTTTTAGATGCGATTAACATTTAAATCGGTGGACTTTTATTAAAGCAGATTACCCTCCGTTATGTGGGTGGGCCACATCCAATCAAAGGCCTTAAAAGCAAAGACTAAGGTTTCTCCCAGAAGAAGGAATTCAGCCCCAAGACTGCAACATAGAAACCTTGCCTAGTTTCCAACCTGCTTGTCTTGCCCTGTGGATTTCGGACTGAAGACTGCAGTGTCAACTCTAACCTGAATTTGCAGCCTTCAGTTTTGCCCCGCAGATTTCAGACTTGTCTTCTCCAACAAGCTCATGAGTCGGTTCCTTAAAAGAAATCTCTCTCTATATATGTAGATATCCTATTGGTTCTGTTTTCTCTGGAGAACCCTAATACAGTTGCCATTTGTCTTCCTGGATCTTTCTCATCTGGGAGATGGGGTGAAGGAGGCAACTTAGATCTGGATGCGTTCAAGGCATCTTCTGACCCTGTAAGTTCAGTAAATGCAGCCATCAGGGCCAGTGGGGACCAGGCATCTGGTTAGCCGAGGGTTCCAGTTACCAGAGTGTCACCATCTAGACCAGAGGCTGCAAACTCAGACGTCTGCCGAGACCTCGCGGGAACTCAGCGTGTGAAGTTGGCAGGGCTTGTATGGGGACCAAGCATGACATCTGCCTAATTAGGCCAAGAGCGGGCTAAACCAGAGCCATCCCTGGGGTATGGTCAGCCACTGGTGGGCCGTGTAGCAGCCTCCCGCCTAGGAGCTTGGTGTTCAAAGTGTGGTCTCAGATGGGCCGCCTCAGCGGCGCCAGGAAGCTTGTTCGAAATGCAGACTCTCGGGTCCTCCCCCAGACCTGCTGCGTCAGAATCTGCCTCACCTACCCACCCCTCTGGGATTTGTGTGTTACGAGGAGGGCTTGTTAAAGCACAGATGCCATTCTGGGGACTCTGAGCAGGTCTGTTTGGGGCCCAGGAACCTGCCTTTCTAACAAGCTCCCAGGAGATGCTGAGGAGGCCCATCCGGGAACCACCCTTGGAGCGGAGAGAGCCTGAGGCAACCCCAGGATCCTCTGTTGTCACCGATTAGACCCCACTGAGCAGGATTTGCTGCATGATGAAGAACCAGGAGCCCTCAGCCCAGGAGAGTAGCACCTTGAAGGGTGTGTGGGTGTGGGGTCTGAGTCTGTTATTCCCCCCCTGGCCCCCTATCTACCACCTTGGTCTCCCTTGGCATCTCTGAGCTGTGTCTTCCAGCTGAGAAAGGGAGCCTAGAACCATATCCTCAACGAGTTTTCACTCCTGGTCCCCTTTACATACACCATAAACTTCACACACCTCTCCCCCTGCCCCCAGTCATCAAGAATCGCTGATAATAGCACAAGCTGCATAGTGTCGTTCTAAGTGCTTTACCTCATTTAATCCTGGACGTCAATACCTGATGAAAGCACTTTTGCTGTTCCTGTTTTTATAGAAGGGGAACAAAGACCAGAGAGGTTAAGTAACTTGCCTGAGATCACACAGCAGGTAAATGACAGAACCAGGGATTCAAGCCCAGCAGTCTGAGTCCAGAGTCAGTGCTCTTACCCTCAGCACAGTACCGACCAGAGGACCGCACCCCTGTCCTCGTAACTGCTGCCAACAAGACTGTAGAGCATTACTTGCTGCAGGTGGCACTGAAAACAGAATTTCATTTTTCAGATATCTGGTTGAGCATGCTTTTTCAGGGGGCACAGGATGCCCCCCAGTTCTGACAGGCCATCCCGCTGTTGCACTTGCCCCTGCAGTGGGGGGCACCTCGGCCCTGCCCCTCCCATCTCCCTTTTCCCCATCTGGGTCTCCAGGTCTCTACCTCAGCTGCTGCCTCCCCTGCCCCCTACCGGCTCTCTCCCTGCACCTGCCTCTCTTGGTGTCTCCTGTCACTGCCCGTCTCTGAACTGGGGCCCCTGCAGGCCACCTTGGCGTCTCTTCTCCACAGTGGGTGGGATGCACAGCCGGGCTCCTGGGTCCTGAGCTGCTGGGGCCAGTGATGGGCGGGGAAGTTGGAGTAGGGCAGCCCTAGCTCTTAGCCTCAGCACCATTCTTCCCTGGCCTAACCACTGCCCCCTTCTTGGGCCTTGGTTTCCACCTCTGTGAAATGGGACATGAACCCCTCTAGTGCTGGCCTCTTGGAGCAGTTATGATGGTTCCTGGACTGAGAAGGGGCTTTATGATCCCTCAAGTGCTGTGTGTAGCCGGGAGGTGGTTGTGATTCCTCTGGGGCTGCAGATTAAAGAGCCTGCCTGAGGGGCTCCCTTCCTCATTCATTTGCCACAGTGTAGGTGCTGCTCTAGGTGCTGGGGAAACAGTGATCCCTCCCTTGTGGAACTTATATTCCAGACAGTACACAAGGCAAATAGACAAATTAGTAAAAATGGTTGTAGATTGCATTGATCTGTGAAGGAACCAGTGTGGGGCTGAGATTAGCTTGGGTGACCAAGGAAGGCTTCTGAGGAGGTGACGTGAAGCTGACAACTAAGACCTGTCATGTGATGGGACTTCCCTGGTGGTTCAGTGGTTAAGAATCTGCCTTCCAGTGCAGGGGACACGGGTTCGATCCCTGGTCGGGGAGCTAAGATCCCACATGACGTGGGGAAAGTAAGCCCGCGTGCCGCGACGAAAGATCCTGCATGCTGTAACCAAGACCTGACACAGCCAAATAAATCAATTAAAAAAAAAAAAAAGACCTGCCACGTGAAGAAAAGCATTTCTGGCAGGGGAAAGAGCAAGTGCAAAGGCCCTGAGGCAGGAGAGAGATTAGCATATTTGCAGAGCAGAAGGAGGCCAGTGCAGCTGGGGCACAGGGAGTGATGGAGAGTGTGGCATAAGGTGGGGTCAGGTCAGGCCCTGTTGGCCTGGGGAGGATTTGGATTGTGTGACAAGGAAGGGCAGCCACTGGGAGATTTTCCGGAAGAGCTGTGGTAGCACCTGATTTGCATGTTTAAAGACTCCCTCTGGCTCTGGCGGGGCATGGAAAAGAGAGAGTCTGGGGGCTGGGGTTGCTCAGGGAGACCTGACATGGGCCAGGGAAGTGGAAGCGGGGAGATGGGGACGATGCTGGACGCATTTTGGCGGTGGAACCGACAGCAGTAGTAGGATATGGGGGGTGAAGGAAAGAGAGAGGTCAAGGAGGATGGGTTCCTAGGTTTCTGGCTAAAACTGGAATGTTCTAGACCTGTGACTCAGCATCAGAGTCTCCAAACCCTGTTCTTCTGCCTAAAGGGTAAGATGTCTTAGGAGCCGGGCCAGCGGACCCTGTGGGAGCTTAAGCCTCAGTCTTGTTCATTGTTGAAGCCCGAGAGTGCTCAAGGAATGTTTGCTGAATGAATGAATGGGAATTCCCAAGCCCTGCCCGCTCTTTGCCTCAGTTAACCCATCTGTAAAAGGGACTGCTAGTTTTGTATCCCCGCCTTCCAATTCCTTCCCCGGGGCTCTGGTCACCCCAGAAGGCCTGTGTCCATCTGGGCCAGGGGTCAGGACCATCCACGAGCAGGCCCTAGCTCCCCAGGCCCCCTCTCCAGCCTGAAACCTCAAATTACCTGTACTGCGGTGATGCACCAGGGAGGTTTCCATCTTGCCTAGATGCGCATGGCAGGCCCAACCCTCCCTTAATGACACCTTGCCTGCCAGCCCTCCTGCTGGAGTAGGAGGGGAGGGGGCCCGGCCCAGCCTAAGCCGTGGTTTCTTTTTCCATTGCGTCAGGCCTCAGGGTCTGGCCTGCCCGCCCGCTGCCGGCTGGCACAGAGGGGCCCACTCTGACCCCCACCTGCCCCAGCTCCAGACATCATGTGCTCCCCGTTTTGGGGATCCAGAAGCTTCCAAGCAGAGGGTGAGTTGGGGATGGGGACCTGCCCCTAGCTGGGGGAGGAGTGCCCCCTTCCCCCGCCCACTCATCACTCACTCTCTCTGGGGCCTGCAAGCTGATCCAGGTGGGGCCACAGTGGGCTCTGAGGAGCCCCACCCAGCCCGACTGTCCCCTGGACCTGGCCCTCCTGGCCACACCCTCAGCCAGGCTGGAGCCAGTGAGGGGTAGGAGGAAGTGCAGTAACCTAGGCGAGGGATGATGGTAGCTCAGACCAGGGGGAGGGTGGGGGAGAAGTGGCCCCAGAGTGTCCATACAAGCGCTTGCCTTTGCATCTGTTAGCCTGCGGGCATGTGTGTGCGTGCGTATGGGTGTGACGTGCATAAGGAAATGTGTGAACCTGGGTGTGTGTACCTGATACCCCTGAGGTACGGGATGAAAACAGAGGTCTCTGACTTGGCAGTATGGGGGGGTGGTGGCCCAAATGGCATCTAGCATGTCATGAAGGGGGCCTGTGAGGTGGAGAGGGGTGGGTGAGCTGGAATCCACCCCATTAGTGACGATGGGAGAGACAGGGGTGCGGGCAGTGTAACCCCAGAGGAACTGGTGACCTTGGGGGCGCCGGGGTTTTCTTAGCCTCAGGCTCCCTTTGGCCTGGCTGACTCCCCAGATGCCCACACCTGGTTCTAGGTCCCCACCATGCCCAGCAGTCCCCTGGCCCTGGCCAGAAGGCCGTACGTTGGCCTGGGAGTCTGGAAAATTGGTTCACAGCCTGCCTCTGTTTCCTGACTGTGTGACATTGTACAGGTGACTTCTGCTCTGAGCCTCACTTTCCTTATCTGCAAAATGGGGGTGACTCTTGTGCCCCCCACCCCACCCCAGGTAGTTGTAAGCATAAACAGGTGTTCTCTCAGCCTCTTTGTGGATGAGTCCAGCCCCCAAATACTTACCCACAAAGGCCAGGTTCCAACTCCTTGACTAATATCTTATATCCCCTGACTGTCGAGTGGGTAACTGGCCCTGCACTGCCCCAGAGGAGGGAGGTGAGAGGAGGCCATTCCTTCTGAGAGCATGAACCCACCTGACCATGCTGACCAGCCCTGACTACAAGCTGAGCACGTCACCCGCATGATGTCTCTGATCCTTATTCAAATCTGGCGGGGTAGGTCCTAAAATTGCCTCACCCTCCAGAGGGGGACACTGAGGCTCGTTCGTTCACTCTAGAGTGTTTACTGAATGTCTGCCAAGTCCCAAGACCTGTGCCAGAGCTGGGATCCTGTGGTAAGAAGACTACCCAGCTCCAGCCCTCTAGGACCTCATGTTCCAGGCTGGCTGAGAGCTGCGGAGGGCAGCCAGGTCCTTCGGGCTCCAGGCTCCCAGAGGGAGCTGGGGCTTTATTCGGAGAGTGATGCAAGTCTTGGAGGGCTTTAAGCAGAGAGGTGTCATGGTCCAATTTGTGTTTTTCAAAGCTCCCTCTAGTCCCTGTGGGGACTAGGGGTGGTTAGACTAAGGAGAGGCAGCAGGGAGGCTGGCGAGGAGGTGGCTGTGATCCAAGCGGCAAGGACCGAGCCACAGTGGCAGTGCTGGGCCCGCTCCCTCTCCCTCTGACCCCAGCCCGCTTCCTGAGCGCCAGCCCCTCGCTGGGCACACGCAGCCCCGGTCTGCAGGAGGCCTGCGTGAGCGCGGTCCCCTCTTCCGCTCCAGACACAGCGCCCTGGGCATACCTGACAGGGAGAGGACCTGGACAGTGACAAAGCCAGTGCTCAGCCTCCTCCCTCCCACCGTCTGTCCCTAGAACAGAACCTCATTATAGTCACACGAGCCCAGAGCATCAGCACAGCACTGCAGTTTGCCTGCAGTATTTATTCTTGTCGTGTAAAAACTAGTTTCCATCGGAGAGGCTGGAGAGCTGCGTGTGTGCCGCAGGGTGGCCGTGCCAGGTCAGGGAGGGATGAGCAAATCTGTGACCCGCCGAGGGGAACGGGGAATAGGGATGTCCAAAATGGACATCTTGCCGGGTGGCTGATGCTGGAAGGCGGGCCTGGGTGAACTTCAGATGTGCCAGTGGAAATAAGATCTGACCACACCTTGTAGGACTGTGTCATGATGTGTCGTTAGCACATGAGGAAACTGAGGCACAGAGAGCTGAGGATAAGGACCAACTCAGGCAAGATCTGAGCGATATGGAGCGTTTGTGCGTTTGTTGATTTATACACGTACCTTTTTTTTTAAATCCAACAAATGTAAACTGAGTGCCTCCTATGGACCGGTCACTGTGCTTAGGCTGGTGATACAGGATGAACAAGACAGATAATGAACAAAGTCAAGTTTTGGATAAGTGACCAGAAGGTAGCTTCCTAGCGGCCAAAGCACTGAGGGAAACCTGAGCAATTACAAGCTTCGTCATAGCCGCAAGATGCCGATATGTCAATTGCTCAGGAGAAGCCCAGGTTTTCCTGGCAAAATGATTGGGATGCCTGTGTCCACTGTGATTTGTTGCTGATCTGACAGGGGCAGCTTGGACCTGTGTGTATCTCACAGGTAAAGACGGACCAAAGCAGAGAATGACTTTAAAGACAAACTAAACACACCTACCGGAGACTCCTTTTTCACGCATTTCCTGCATTCTTTCTCCAAGCTTTTGCCCATGTCATCCTCCCCACTGCCACCCCGCCCCACACACACTCCTTTTCTTCCATCTTTAACCACACCTTGAGGGTCAGTCAGGTGGTGACGCCTCCCCGGGGTGGAGTGGCGCAGCAGATGTCTGTCCCCTCTCTGACCCCCAATGCTGTCCCCTCAGACTGCGAGGAGCTGCCGCCGCCGTTGCCGACCCCCATGGCCTACACGCCGGGTGGAGGTGCCCCAGCACCGGGGGTGGCCCCCGTGGGCTCCCAGTACTGCGTGTGCAAGGTGGAGTTGTCAGTGAGCGGCCAGAACCTGCTGGACCGGGACGTCACCTCTAAGTCCGACCCCTTCTGTGTCCTCTTCACAGAGAATAATGGCAGGTGGAGCGAGGTGAGGCCCCTCTGTGTGCAGCTGCAATGGGTGGAGTGTGGCTCGGTCGCTGGGTAGGGGCTCTCACTGTATCCCAGGGACCTGGGGTCAGGCCTTTGGAAGTACTTGCAGTGTGGGCCGGAGGTTACTTAGAAAATTGTTATTCTGAAAATCATATTTTATTTAAAATGTTTATAACAGTACTTAAAATAGTTATATTTGTGTTTATTATAATTCATAGATTTATATTTATATAATTTTATATTTAGTGTTCTATAATATTTTAAGTTACTATAATATATAGTTAAAACCTTAGAGTTTTGCAAAATGCTTGCTTTCATTTTTAAAATAACTTTCCCCTCTTATTCCTAAATGAGCACAGTCAGTGAGGAGCAAACAGAGAAATAGGGAACTCAGGCTTTGGTCCCAGAGCTGGACCAAGACCCAGCTCTGTCACTCCCTGCTGTGTGGCCTTGGGCAGGTGGCTATCCCTCTCTGAGCCTGTCTCCTCATCTGTGAAATGAGGATTTTCTTTCCCTGCCTACCTTGGAGAGTCCCAGAGCTGGGGATGTTGATGGTGCCACAGCCAACGACTTCTGAGCTGGAAGACTTTTGCCTGAGGGCTGGGGAAAGATGCAGCTTAAGGAAGGCTATTAAGAAATCCAAACTGTTAAGACTTTCAACATTTAAAAATGGCTTTGTTTCCTATTCCGAAAGGGGTCTATATTCATTGCAGTAAATTTAGAAAATCCAGGTAGACCTAGAGAAGAAAATCAAAATGGTTGGGAACCCGCCTGTCAGGGAGAACCAACTGTTAATGGTTTGGTATCCAGCCTTCCAGACAGTTTTACATGCATATAAAATTTCCAAAATATGTTTCTATTTTTCATAGTTATTTAATGAGGCCTCAGTGGGCGTCCCACAGAACATACTGTGGTTTACAAAGAATTTCCACAGATGTTGGCTCCTTCTTATGATGCCAAGGAAATGGGCTGGGATTGTTGACCCATTTTACAGAGGAGAACTGGGGCCCAGAGCGGGGAGGGACTTACCTGTCTTACCGAGCACATTGGTGGTACAGCCAGAAGTGGGAGGTGGGGCATGAGGTCAGCCGAGGATTGCTGGGGGAAGCCCCAGGCCTGAGGCCAGCATGTCCAGAGTCCCCTCTGACAGGTCTCCGGAACTCCCCCCGCCCCTGCCCCTCGGGGAGTGATGTCCTCCCCCACTGCACCCACCCCCACTCATGACATGCCCCCCACCCTCCCTGACAATCTCGCTCCCACCCAGGCCAGACACCCTGGCTAAAAATAGCTCAGGGCCAAGACCTCTTCCGTCCCTGCTGCTCTCTGGCCCTTGGAAATGGGATGGGTGGGAGGAAAAATCAACACAGCCCAGGCCCTAAAATAGACTGTCACCCAGACTCCGCGGTTTGGGGCCTCAGTGCAGAGAGGCCGGGAGGCGGGGTTCCTGTCCCAGCCCCACCAGAGACCCACAGTGCAAGGCCCTGCCCTTCCCCGGGCCTTGGTCTCCACACTAGGTAGGGGACGCTCGGTTCCTGGTTTTGACATTCCAGGGTTTGAGGAGGGTACAGACACCTGCCTCCGGGGAGATGGGGAACCCCTGACCTCACCTCCCCGCTAAGTACCCCTCCTTCTCTCTGTTTCTTCTCTCAGCTTCCATGTAAAATGTGGTTTGAAAAAAGGGTTCTCCCCAAATATAAAGGATGAAAGCCAGAGGTGTCAAATCCTTTCATTTTACAGAAGGGGAAACTGAGGTCCAGATGGGAAAAGGGACTCCCTCTGTCACTTAACCTAGGCAGGGACAGGGTCCGACCTCTTACCTTGGAACCTGGGTATGGAGTCAGGACCAGTGTGTTAAAAGTATGAATGGTGGGCTTCCCTGGTGGCGCAGTGGTTGAGAGTCCACCTGCTGATGCAGGGGACACGGGTTCGTGCCCCAGTCCGAGAAGATCCCACATGCTGCAGAGCGGCTGGGCCCGTGAGCCATGGCCACTGAGCCTGTGCGTCCGGAGCCTGTGCTCTGCAATGGGAGAGGCCACACAGTGATAGGCCCACGTACTGCAAAAAAAAAAAAAGTGTGAATGGTAGAGTCAGGACTGGGTTCAAATCTTGGCCCTGCCCTCTAGCTGTTCAACCTTGGGTGAGTCACTTAACCTCTCTGTGCTTCAGTGTCCTTATCTGTGAGCTGGGAGTAATGATTGTTTCAGCCATCTGGGTAACTGGCCATGAGTGCCTGGCACAGAATTGGGTGTTTAGCAAGTAAGCACCATGATTCCCTGTAGCCCAAGAAGGGCTGAAACAGCTACTTGACTCTGACACCTGTTTCCCTGCCCTCTGCCAGTATGACAGGACAGAAACTGCAGTCAACAACCTCAACCCCGCTTTCTCCAAGAAGTTCGTCCTTGACTACCATTTTGAGGAGGTGCAGAAGCTCAAGTTTGCCCTGTTTGACCAGGACAAGTCCAGCACGCAGCTCGAGGAGCATGATTTCCTGGGCCAGTTCTCCTGCAGCCTGGGCACGGTGAGCCGGGCTCCTCCAGGAGGGCGGGGTCAGTGCAGTGCCGCCATAAGTCACCTGGCTCCCAAGGATGGGGCAGCCCCCTGGAGAGTCTGCTGCTGCCTGCTTTCCCTGGTCCTGTTTTCCCGCCTGGCTCCCGAGGTGGCATCACAAATGGGGACAGCCTTGGGGGCCAGCAGGCACAGAAAGGGGGAAGTAGGCAGGTGGGGTTGGGGCCAGGCTGAAGTGTTCCCCTCGGAAGACACTGAGCACAGTGCCACACAGGAGTGGGGCGCCCTGTGGCCAGAGCTGCTCAGTGGTAGAAGTAAGCAAGTGTGGTCTTGACTTCCTGGGATGGGAGCATCTGACCAGCAACCAAGACACCCACGACAGTCCCACTTGATGGCTGGCTCACTGTGTGACCTTGGGCATCTTCCTTTCCCTCTGTGGGCCACATTTCCCCCTCCAGCTCACTCCTTGGTGAGCTTATGGGGGTTGCAGGGCTAAGAGCTCCTGATACAAGTTCCGATCATTGTTAATGGCTATGTGCCCTAGGGCGAGCCCCACACCCTTCTGAGCCTCACTCTCCCCATATTTTACTTGGGGATAGTGATGAGCTCTCTGCCCAGTCTATAGGGATGGTGGGAGAATAAAACGGAAAATGCTTCGAGAGGTTCTAGTGGAGACTGAAATGCCCTGGGCCTTCCCGGAGATGATGTTCAATGAAGAAAGCAAGGGCCCAGCAGTTACGTAAGAAGTGGGGTGTGTCTCTCAGGGTCCCCGCCATGTGTCTACACCCTCAAAGGGTAACCGAGGAGAGAGCTTTAGGACCAGTGGGCAGGGGCAGGAACCGACAAGGGGTGAGGAAACCTTTACAGGGCTGACACCTGCCAGAAGCCCAGCCACCCCTAGCCTGGAGGGAGGGGCGGGGCAGGAAGTGGTGTTGCCAGGTCCTGGGGAGAGCTGTGGCCACCACGGGGAGGCCTCTGGACTGGAGCCGAGGCGATGATGAGCAACAAACCTTCCGCCAAGGCTCAGCCCAGCCCTTCTCCCCTCCTGCTCTCCTAGCTCCTGCTGGCACCGCCGTTGGCTGAACCCCAACAAGCTGTAAGACAGGGGAGCCAGGTGATGCAGGCCGCAGTGGCATAGAGAAGGTGGAGAAGGGCAGAGTGGACCTAGGGAGAAGAAGTAGCACAGGGAGACTAGGAACATGCTCACATTGGCACAAAGAAATACTGGCCTTTTCCCCAAGAAACAGAACTGTGGTGGCACAAGGAGGGTGTGGGAATGGGGTGTACGGAGACCGGTGGGAGCGAGACTTACAATGTGTTCCACTTGTCCTTTCTATATTGTGTTGATCCTTGAACTCTATGTGAATGTATTCACTATTCAAAGCAATGAAAATACACAGGAGGAGTCAGGGTTTGATCCTCTCCATCAGGGATCACACCCTGAGGGAGGGTGGGGGTCTCTGGATGACTCTGGGGGAGGCAGTTACGCGGCTAACCTCCCTTCAGCAGTCTCCAGAAAGTGAGCCTTACAAGAGCCTTTTCCTGGGGACATCCAGGTCAGCAGAATCCGACTGCTGGGATTCTGTCCCAGCTGTGGGACCTCGGGCAAGTGTCTTAACTTCTCTGGGCCTCAGTTTCCTCAGCTGCCCGGTGGGGTTAGCAGTGGTTGCTGTCTGCCTCCCATGGCGGGGATCACGCAGGGGGAGGTTTAGCCAGCGCCTGGCATGGAGCATCGTGCTGTGAGCAGTGCCTGTTGAGGACTTTTTCCTCCCTGGGTCTCTTCCCCAGCCCTCAGAGTGAGTGCCTCTCCTCTCTCCCTCCAGATCGTCTCCAGCAAGAAGATCACTCAGCCTCTGCTGCTGATGAATGACAAGCCTGCGGGGAAGGGCTTGATTACGGTACCAGCCCTGCTCCCCGCTCTCTGCTCTCTGCAGGCCCCCCACACACTGCCCACTGCCCTCCCCCATCAATGGGCCACTTCACTGGCAGATAATCACCAGCTTTGTTTGGAGTAAAAAGGCCCAACTTACAACTTAGCAACAGGTCTCTTAGCAACGGGCTCCTGGCTCCACATATGATGTGTTGGGGCTGCCAAACCAGGGAGTGGGGGGCACTGCCAGGGGTGCCCAGGGTGGCTCCCCAGGCAGGGGCGCTACTCCTCCTCCCTGGAGGCCTCCAGAGCCCTCCCTGCATCCACTCCCGGCACTGGCCTCTTGGGCGACTTTCAGGCGTTTCAGGGCCTTGCCCATCGGAACTCTGCTTGTGGCTGCAATGCGCAATGATTCCTGTGATGCGCAGTGATCCCTGTGAAGCGCCGTGATTCTTGCGATGCGCAGGCCCTTTGAGCGGCTGAGCTCTTCGGTCATTAGAATTCCGGAAGGCGGGGAAACCTGGTTTTACAGATGAGGGAACCGAATCCCAGAGAGGAAGTGCCCTTGGGCGGTTCAGCTAGTGAGGTTCGCTCCTAGATTGTCCCTCTTCAGAGCCTGTGTGACGCCAGGGGTTCTGGAGGGAGGAGGGCTGTACCTGTGTGTGTTCACAGGCCTTACTCCCCTGCCCTGGAGCCTTCCTGGCTCCCCACTGCCTGTGGAGCCATGCATTCCAGGCTGGGAGGGACCCAGCAGTCTCAGCTGTTTTTTACCCCGTTCATGTCCATGGCCTGTGTTCAAGGCAAACTGAATTCTTAGCATACCCTGCACTTACCCTAGGCCCTCATCCACTGTTCCTGCCACCTGGAATGTCCCCTCCCAGCCTCCCCCATCTCTTGGGGTTTAAAACCTCCCCATCTAAATGCCTTCACAAGCCAGCTGCCCTCCACATGGAAGCCAGCCCAGAAGGACCCCACCCAGTGGGTATGCCAACCTCCAGCGTTGCCAGCAGTTCGCCTCCAGACCTGGGTTCTGTCCTCTTGTGAAATGGGGGCAGTAATAGGGCCTACCCTATGGGGTTGTTGAGCAGGTCTCAGCTGGAGGGGGGGAAGGGGAGAAGGGGCCTCTAGCCTGGCCTCCGTCTGTGGTTCTCAGGGTCAAATAGCTCGTTAGGTGAGGCCATCCCAGAGGTGTGGGAGCAGAGGAAGTCCTAGCCGAGGGAGAGCCCTGCCCACTTGGGTTGCTGTTGGCCAGAGGGCCTTCCCTGCCACTCTGGGGAGGTGAGAGGGAGAGGCCCAGAGAGGGTAGATGGCAGCCTCGAGGTCACCCAGGTGGTGCATCACTGGCTGGCCTGGGGCAGAGGGCCATGGCTGATGGGGAGGGCGTGGAGGATAGATGAGGGGTGTGAGCTGGCGAGACAGCAGAGAGAGCTCGGGTGGTCCCTTGCCTGCCCCGGGCCTCAGTTTCCCTGGCTGCACAGTGTGCAGTTGTTAGAATTTCCGACACCTTGGTGTTTTGAGGTGGTTGTCTGTGCTCCCTGGATCTGCAGTGGGGACATGAGAGGGTCTGTCAGGCTGCTCGCTGGCCCAGAGCCTCTCTCTAGGGCTCAAGACCACCCTCCATGTTTGGTCCCTGCTTCATCTCCCCCCCGCCCCCCACCATCTCATGGCCCATCTCTTGAGCCACATTGCGGTCACTTTCTGATTCCTCATATCCAGAAGGGTTATTATCCCCATCTTCCAGAAGATGGAAACTGAGGTTTGAGGAAGACGAGAGACTCGTCCCAGGTCACCTGGCACTACTCTTCCCCACCACTCCCCTCCTAGCCCTGGAGAATTGACTCCTGGGGCAGCCTGTGTCCAGCCTGCCTGAACGGAGGCCAGAGGGCGTCTCAGGACAGACCCCGACCCCCGACGTTCCTCTGGCCTTACAGATTGCTGCCCAGGAGCTTTCAGACAATCGGGTCATCACGCTGAGCCTGGTGGGCAGGAAGCTGGACAAGAAGGTGAGGCAGGCAAGGGAGGGGGCTCTCCATCAAGGAGCAGGAACCCTCCCCCAGCCCTGGGGTTGTGTGGCCTGGGGGTTCTGGCCACCACCTTCATTGCCCCTCCAGGGACAAGTCCATAGCACACGGCCCTACTGCCACCCCAAATTAGGACTGCTTCACCACTGAGGTAGTGAGTTTCCTATCACTTAGAGATATTCAAGACATGGCTGGAAACCCACTCGTTGGGGCTCCCCATCCCACGTAGTGTAAATGCTAGGGTCCTTACAGTAACCTACAGGACCCCACCTGATGTGTCCTCAGCTCCCCCCAACTCCCTGGCCTCACCCCTTCTGCATTCCCTACTTTCATTCTGTTTTAGCCAAATCAGCCTCTTCCTTGTCCTAGGATTAAACCAGGCACCGTCCTGCCTCAGGACCTTTGCACTTGCTGTCTTTTCTGCCTGGGATGTTCTTTACCCTGAATATTCTCATGACAGGCCCCTCTCTCACCTCCACGTCACCTCCTAGTGAGGCCTTCCCTGAAATTGCAGTGGTCCCTGCTATCCCGCCCCCTCCTCCTTTATTTGTCTCCTTAACGCTAATTCTGCCTCATGTGTATTACTTACTCATTTATTTTATGTCTCCCCCTCTTGAATATAGCCTCTTGAGAGTCCATGTTTGCTTAAATAAATGGAGGTTTAAAGGACTCTTCTGCTAGGATAGTTTCAGTTTTTCAGAATCCCACTAAAATGAATTAAAATCCCATCCTGCTGGGTGCCTCCCTCTGCCCTGGGAACAGTCTCCCTCTTGACGTCCTGCCCCACTGAAGATGCTGGAATTGTAACTTCTACAGGCTCCAGGTCTTAGGGTCTCTGAGCCCAAGCTCTGGTAACCCAAGGATGGGGCAGTTTCTCCTGGGGCTGCTGCTTGGTCCCAGGGGGCTGCAACTGCCCTGGGTGTCTGCTGAGCCCTGCAGAGGCTGAGGGGAGAGGGGCCAGGCTGGCTCTGCCCATAGCCCTCACTCCTGACGCCAGGTGTGGGAGGCAGTGGGGCCACACCCCCACCCCATCTGAATCCAGTGGAATTATGCCTTCCTCACCCACATCCTCCCGCTTCCTCCAGGACCTCTTTGGGAAGTCAGACCCATTTCTCGAGTTCTATAAACCAGGAGGTGATGGCAAGTGGATGCTGGTCCACAGGACTGAGGTGGGTGTGTGGGGCTCCAGGGGTCTCTGAGCCAGTGGGTCTGTAGTCCAGCCACACCCAACAGCTCAGGTCGGGGCTAGGCAGTCACAGCCCTGCGGCACACAGGAAAACCCGAACTGGCCCCTAAAGGACTTGTTCCCTCCCCATCACAGGGATGCTCACTTCCATCCCCAGAGGCATGGCTGTGGGTCTCTCCACCTTGCCACTCCCTGTCCCATTGGGCTGGCCCAACCCCAGAGCTGTACTGGCCCTGGGCCTGAGTTCACCCTTGCCCCTCACTGTCCTGCAGGTGATCAAGTACACTCTGGACCCCGTGTGGAAGCCATTCACTGTGCCATTGGTGTCCCTGTGTGATGGGGACGTGGAGAAGCCCATTCAGGTGAGGGGGGCTATGGGAACCCTGCTGCCCACCCTACCAGCTCTGGCCTCCTGGTTACCTGAGGCTTCCTGGGGGTGCCTTGGCAAAGCTCTGGAAAAAGAACCCTTGTGGGGGGAGGGGCAGGAGACCTGAGCCCTTGTCCCCGGTCTCCCTGACCCTCTGAGTGATGTGGGCAGGGCCCTCATCTCTGTGATTCCCTTGTCTAAAAGGGGAACAGAGTGACTGCTCTTTTTTTCCGGAGGGCTGTGTGCTGCTAGCTAGGATAATGAATGCAGAATCACCTTGGAAACAGCCAAGTGTTGTTGCTGTGATGAAGGTGATGATTACTAGTCTCTGAAAGCCCTAAGTCCTCAGGGACCATGTCTGAGAGCAGACGAGGTGGGGCGAGGCCCTGAGACCATGTAGGGATCCCCAGGCAGGGCACCAGGAAACTTGGGTTCTAGTTCTGGGTCTACTACTGCCACTGTGAGACTTTGGGCAAGTGCTTCCCACTCAAGGCCTCAGTTTACCCATCAGTACAATGGGTACAACAATCCCTGCCTTCCTTCTAGGAGTGTCATGGCAGCTAAGTTAGAGAGCATATCAAGCTGGGACTTTTTGTGCCCATCTCAGGAAAAAAAATAGCAGTCTAGGGAGGACTCCAGACCATGGCCCATGAGGCCAGGTGGGCCACAACCCAAGATAGATTAGCAGCCCAGTGTCAGGTGTCTGAGGTGTGCAGCTTCCTGCTCCAGAGGGAATGGCCTCCATTACTAGAGCGGGCACCCTTTCTCCTTTTCCCGGCAATCATGGAAGGCTTCCTGCAGGAGGCGGTTCAGGAGCTACCGGCATCATCCCAAGCCAGCTAGTCACATCTGGAGGGGAGAGGGAGGTACCACCCCTCAAAAAAGGCATGGGATTTGCTCAGGGAGCTGAGAGGAGCTGGCAAGTGCCTCCTGTGGGGCAGCTCTGGGGTGACTCGCTGGACCCACTCCAGGTTATGTGCTATGACTATGACAACGACGGGGGCCATGACTTCATCGGTGAGTTCCAGACCTCGGTGTCACAGATGTGTGAGGCTCGTGACGGCATCCCGGTAAGATGTGCACATGTGCGTGACCCCAGGACCTCGGCAGGGGATGGGGAAGGGGCACAGGTTTTTGAATCAGGCAGACTGGGGCCCAGATCCCACCTCTCTGCCTTATGACCTTGAGCAAGACATTTAATCTCTCTGAGCCTCAGTTTCCCCATCTGTCAAGTGGAGGCAGAAGAGTAGAGTGGGAATTAAATGAGATTAAACAAGTAAAGTACCTAGTGCATAGTGAGTACTTGGGGGAGCTGTCTATTTAACTCTGAGAAGCCAGGCTCTGGGCAACAGTTCTGGGTGCGTGAGTGGACATGACATGGATGAGTTGTCTGGGGATGGAGGGCAGATGCACATCTTCTGACCTTGGGCAGATATAGCTTGGCATGAGCCTAAGGTGGCAGGAAACATTTCTGGGGCGGGGGGCTTCCTGGAGGAGGCATGCTGCCCCTGTGGAGTAGATTCTGGGGCCCAGGAGAGGGTCAGTCCCCACAGAAGCCCCAAGCTGAGCTCCTCTTTCTTCTGTGTTGCCCAGCGGGAGTTTGAGTGTATCAACCCCAAGAAGCAGAAGAAGAAGAAGAACTATAAAAACTCGGGCATCATTATCTTGCGTTCCTGCAAGGTGAGCCAGCATGGGTGGGCACGGGGCACAGTCCCGGTTTGGGGTCACACAGAGGTATATCGCTGCACAAGAGACAGAGTGTTGGGTTTGGAGCCAGCAAGGCCTGGGTTCAAATCCTGGTTCTGCCATGTCCTGGCTCTGTGACCTGAGCTTAACCTCTCCGGGCCTCAGTCTCCTCATCTATAGAATGGGAAGGTTAACAAGGTAAAGCATGTAAAATGTTAGTCTCATATCACATTCCTTTGTGGAAGTCAAGGAGGGCATGCGATGACCTTCCAGGGTTTCCTTGTTGGAGCGTAACTATAGGGAGTTACTGCTTCCCAGGCTTGCCCATTGCATGTTCAGCATCAGAGGGGCAGAGGATATCCGGCCAGGGTGACCTGTGCTCTGGCAGTGACCCTAGTGAGGGCTGAGGTTACTGGCCCGTGGTGTAACTGGGGCCACTGAAGTCCACAAAGACAGTGAAGTTTGCACCGGCAGTGGCCAGGCTGAGGTCAGGGGCCAGGCCCCCCTGGATATCTGGTGGCCATGTATCTGCTGGAATCAGGTAGAACGTTAAGGAAGGCAGCCCAGGCCAGAGCAGCAAGAACCCTGGATGCTGGGCCTGAAGGTTCCAAGTCCTGGCACTCTCTCTACCAGCTGGCCGACCCCAGGCCTCAGTTTCCTTGTCTGGAGACTAGGATTTAAGTGAGCATTCAGTGAGGTCACAACGTAGCAGTGCCCTGTAGAAGTTAAGCTGGCAGGTTGCAGCATCATGATTTCGGGTCCTTGTTTCTGAAACTTGGGTCATTCACATCCCTCTTCATGATTTTTTCCACCTGCCTTATGTTTTGTATTCAGCCCCTCCTCCCCCCATTTTGGTGTCTTTTTTTACTTAAATACATTTATTTTGAAAGGAAACTTTCTAATGCCACCAAAATTGGAAGGCCAGTATCCTTTGCCAAAAGGAGGCAAAGACCATCCAAACAAACCATGTTTTAGCAGCTTTATTAATTATTAATTTACAGCAGAAGGCCTTGAGCCAGAGGCCTGGCATCTCTCTGTTCAAAGTTGAGGTTGGTGAGGGCTACACTGGGCCCTGGGACACTGCCTGGACTCATC